GGGGGGGGAGATAAGAGAATGAGAGACAGAGACAGAAAGAGCCTTCAGAGACATGCCCTTAGTGAGGCCTCTTCCACCCAGGCTCCAATTCCTAACAGCACATTCACGTGTGAACTCATTCATGGACTAACCCACTGATGAGTATAGTTCCCCGTGCTGCAATCACTGTCCAGAAGCCCCATCTCTGAACATGGGACTTCCGAGGGTTTAGGTCTAAACCATAAGATAACCATACATTTAACATTTTGAGAGACTGCAAGCTGTTTTCCAAAGCAGCTGCACCTCATTGCAGTGGTCTCTCACTTAATATGGGAGTTACATTCCAGACACCCCCACAATAAGTGAAAATCAGCAAAGTAGCAACGTATTTCAATTAGTATTTATATATATTTTAAGGCTTTACAAACCCTTCCCACACACTTAGAAACCTTTCCCACACTCTTAAAAACACTTCTAACGTTCTTACCATTTTCTAAACTGGTAAATCTACATAATTTTAACAACATACTACTATATGGTACTGCGAAATTGTACAAAATAGCAAAAAATCCGCAATAATTTAGATTAATATTTTTGAAAACCCACAAAATAATGTCTGTGAAAGTCAAACCACAAAATAGGGACTATTACTGTACATTATTAAAACTATTAAAGTGCATGTCTTCACGTTGGAGATCTGATTTGTATTTCTGTGATGACTAATAATGTTGATCATTTTTTCATGTATATTTTAATTATTTTGCTCATTACCTAATTGGTTGTCTTTTTGATGTTGCAGTGTAAGAGTTCTTTATATATTACAGATTTTAGACCATTATCAGATATATGAATTGCAAATATTTTCTTCTATTGTAGAGATTGTTTTGGTAAGTTGTTCTTTTAAAAATTATTGCTGGTCATAGTGGCTCATACCTGTAGTCTCAGCACTTGGAATGCTGAGGCAGGAGGATCACTGCAAGTTGGAGGCCAGCTTGGGCTATGTAGTGATTTTAAGGCCATCCTGAACTGTATATAGCAAGATTTTGTCTCAAAAAGAAGGAAAGAAAAGAAACAAACTATTTCTCAAAGTATAAAATAAACCTTCCATAGTCAGTATAGACAGAGCTGATACTCGAATCAGCGTGCATGGGTTTTAATGTGGGCTTACTGTGTAAACCTGGGCAAGTCAGTCAACTTTTCTATGTATCAGAAATATTTTCAAAAGTAAATGATGTCTTACGCATAGCATAGTGTAATGCCTACTTTAACATACTGAACAAATATTACTTCATTGTAGAAAAAACTTGAAAACATGAAAAGACCCACAGAAATTTTAAAACACCTTTCCAACCAACTGGATATGATCACTAGTTATACTTTGATGTGTAGCCATGTAGCCCTTCTTGTATTTTTTTAAAAAGTTGTATTAAGTTTATAGCCTACTAAGTATGTTTTTACTGAAATACTCTGAACCACTATCTTGACATTAAATGTGACTTACTTGCTACCTAACATTCTTTTGTATGGCAGTGTCATAACTTATTTTAGAATTCTGTTAGGTTGCTTACAAGTTTTAAATTTGTAATACTACTGCAGTGAACATCCTCACAATCAATCTTGTCTAGGTTACTGATTTTC